CCCCCCCACAGCACCGGGGAGGCGAACAAAGGGACCCCCACAGGACACCTCAAGAAAGGGGCCCTGCCGGTACACTCACCCGGGGTGGTGTTGAGGGGGCACCGGGCCCTCCTCCGCGACCCTCACCGTTCAATTCCTCCGCGGCGGGGAGGGGGGGAGGCGAGCCCGGCTCCCCTCACCGCACGGACGCGGGTCGACTCCGCCGCTGGCCCCACATCCAGGCAGGGCCGCCTGCGCCCCCGCCCGCGGCGAGCCCCGCTCGCCTCCCCCAGCGACTCACGGCGATGCCCACGGCAGCGGCACCATCGCCAGCCCCCAGCTGCTGCTGCTGCTGCTGCCGCCGCCGCCCCGGCCCCGCATCAAAATGGAGGCGGCGCGTCCCCGCCCCCTTGTTTTTGTTCTGCCGTCCCGCAGATGGCCCCGCGCGGAACGCTCCCGCCTAGGTCCGGCCGGTGAGGCGCCGCCGAGAAGTAAAATAGTCCGCTCGCATCCGCGCCCCCTAGAGGTGCCCCGAAAGGGGCTGGAGGTCAGGGCATAATGTAACCGTCCGGAAGAAGCCCTGCTCGATAGAAAGCCGGGAGGAACCACGCTTCTCCAAAGGGAGCGCTAAGTCTCGGCGGACGGAGACGGGGAAGGGTCGCCTCACTCCTTTAAAGGGCCCCGGAGCGGCTGCCCTGTTTTAAAAAGTCCGCCCAAAATCTCCCCCGCTCTGATTGGTCCGCGGTCCCCTGCCGCTGATTGGCCGACAGCGCAGCTCTCCCGCCCCTCCCCTTCCCCACCCGGCTGAGTGTTGTTTACCGGCGGCGATTGGCCGCAGAGCGAGGCTGTGTCTCTCCGATTGGCCGAGCGCGTTCTGCCTCTGCCCCGCCTACGGCTCCGGGCCCTAGCAACCGTGAGGGAGCCCCGTGAGGTGATGGCGGTGGGGGGGAAGGCGGTCCCGCGGCTCCACAGCGAGCGCTGCTGGCGACACCCGCCGCCAAGCCCCCGGGAAACACCGCCCGTCTCCACAGCAATCCCTCTTGGTGATTAAAGGATAAAGGCAAACGCTGCCCGGAGGGGGGCGGCCTCAGGTAGTCGGTGGGGGCCCCCCCCCCCCTCCCCGCCTCGGCTGTTCGTGTGTTCGGAGCGACCCATCTGGGTTTAAAAGCCCCATTAAAAGCGTCCGACTTCAAAAGCTTCGACGAGTTTATTTACGGGCTGGTGTTTCAAGAGTTTTTAGGAGGCGTGCCTCCAAGGTTCGGGCAGAAAGCCGGGGGCTGAGGGGAGCAGCTGGCAGCGGCGCTGATGCCTGTGGAACCCCCGGCAGATGCCTCCTCAGAGCTTGCACCACAGGGCCGCTCGGCCCGCAGCTTAACAGAACCCTCACCACAAGGTAGAAACACATCATCGTCTGGAGGATTTGTGGGGCCGTTCCAACACGTTCCGCCTTCGTTCTGTCCGTTTTTCGTGGACGAACACAAAGGAACAAATGTCACAGGACAAAACCCATGAAACCACAGTGACTCGTGATGTGTACGTACTGGAGACAAAAGTCTGTGGTGGCGACTCCAGCAGATTAGCATTTAGTTTGATCTAGTGGGGTTCTGCCGTTTCAACAAACAGAAAAAGTTTATTAAATGTCGCAGTCTGGAAAAATAAGCCGCCTTCTCTACAAAACAGTCAGCAATGTTGCTATGCCAATCTCTATTTCTAGGCACAGCTCCTGTCTGCTATGCCAGCGATGACGGCCAACAATTTCTTCAACTTTATTTTGATGACAAGCACTCTTAGATTCCCATAAACATGCACAACTTTTCCTGAGGATATTCCTGACACAGGCCAGGGCTCTTGTAGATATATCAGATATGTCTGAGCACCCTTAAAAACAGCATCCCTGCAAGGTCAATGAACTGGCATGGCAACTGATTTTTTTTTTGTGGGATAAAAGCAGTTTTAGGCTGTAAAGTAAGAGTTGTGGACCTGCTCCAGTTTGAACAATGCTGATTATCCGTAATGGAGTCGACTTCAAACTGACTCCTTGCCGTGGCGTCATCTAGGTGATGTTTACAGGATAAGGCTCTGAGCTCCAGTGTCTGTTATCCAAATGCTCTTGGCAGTCGATGCTTCTTTTTTTCCCCCCCCCGCATTCCGAAGCGTATCTTGGCGTCACAGAGATGGAGCATGGATGTTCTTCCTCCTCCGACTGCTGTATTAAGCCACATAGTGGAACATATGTTTCAGTTTACTTAGACAGCAAAAAAGGTTCATTTTGTAAACACATAGCACGACAGTTCTAAAAATGCTAATTCCAACATTTACTTGAACACATGCATTGCTTTCCCTTTACGAATTTAAACCTAATAGAACAGTGAAAAATTATCATTCATACATCGTGTAATTCGAGGGGGGAAAATCTGCTATAAGAGCATGGCTCAACAGTGCTTTCTCTGCAGCCCTGCAGCAGAAGGGCTCATTTTCTACATGAGGAGAGAATGATCCCTGCCCCGTCTTTGTTCCTCTGTAATTAACTGAGCTCAGTAGGATCAAGAAATAAAATTAAAAAAAAACACAGAAACCCAAACCCCAAGGAGCCTTACTATAAATGAAGCACTCATCAGCTTTGGGATTATAAACAGGGAAAATTAGTCTGCTGGCTGTGCTGTCTGGACCTGGCCGAGCAATCAAGTGTTGTCAGCAAAGGAGGAGTTGTGGTAAGGTATGAAATAAAATCTGGTTGTTTTTTTGTTTTTTTTTTTCACTTACACAAAGAATAATTTTTTTCAATGTGGTGTTTATTTGTGATGAAGGGAAGTGTGTATGTGGGGGGAGAAATGAGACGTGTTTCCAGTATTATGAGAAAACACAATTTATCTATTCAGTAACATGCTGTGCTTTACAGAATAGCAATTCCTTCCTGACATTCTTTGGGAACCTAAAGATGCAGTAAGTGAAAATAAAGTTATAAATCCCTTAGCTACAGATGCTATAGCACTCATTGTTTAGAAACACTGACGGCAGCCTTTGAGAGGGGAATTCCTGAGTTACACTGAACCGGAAGGCCGGTGTAAAATCAAGAAAAAAAAGGAATGAAAACTGGGAGGAAAACCCAGCTGAAATTTTTTTGGGATCCTAATGAAAGTGAAGATTTATACTGAGGCATTAACCTCTGCAAGACAAATTTTAAACTAAATAAAAATATGTTGTGATGTGAGACTTTCTGATGCCATCAAATTAAACAGGTGTTACTTTAACTAGCCTTGCTAAACTGCCTTCCAATATGGCTTGGCAAAACTCGTCCTGGCCCATCTGCACACCAATTCAATAGTTATGGATGGCTAATAGCTGTGTATTGACTAGCAGGTGATGATATCAGAGATGTTAATTGGGCCTTGTGGCATGTGGATTTCCAAACTGAAATAGGATTACAAACCTTCATGATTAAGGGACAAGCAGTAATTAACACTCTAGACACAAGCAGTCTGCTCACTGCAGTTGGACTCCCAGGTAAGAACAATAGGGGTCACTTAGAACAATAGTTTTCTCTGAACCACTTAACTGAAGAGCTCCACAGGCTTTACAGCCAGTAATTAATCTAAGTGTCCCACTGCTATCCCATTATACTGGTATGGAGGACAGCAGCACCAGGAAAGCAGCAGTGCTGAAAACTGGAAGGCAGAAGTCACAGAGCTGTGACAACTACTCTTCCCATAAGACCCAGCTGCTGCTATATGGTAATTAGGGGCTTAGCACCTAATTCTGGTGGCAAAAAGTGTGTCTAGTTTGCCAACATCTTTGTTTTCTGCAATGATGGAAGAGACAACAGCTCATGCGTGAATTAGCATTTTCTTCAAACATAATTCAAGCTTATATGAGAATATAGGTAAGCATCAAACATCAAGAGAGCCTGTGGCAAATGAGATTAGCTCTAGAATCCTTTCCCCCCTTGAGAGCTGCTTATTCTTTCATAACTCCTTAAGAGGCATCATATGAAAAAAAATAATCTCTATTTTAATTAAATGGAATGATATGACACTTTGGTGTTTTCTGTTTAACTGAGGGGAGTAAAAGTAGGTTCTGTAAGCAAATAAAATAACCTCAGTGTGTACATGTTATTTTTATACAGAAGTATACATATAAGAAAACACAAGGCTACATATATATGTATATGTATACACATATATATGTATGTATCTGAGAAATATTTTGCAGATTCTGTTGCTGTTGGAAGCAATGAGACCAGCATCTGGTGATAAAAGATATCAAAATTGAAGCCTTTGCATTGGCTTCCCCTCTTCAGGCCCTTTGTGAGGGAACCAGTCTAGGAGATGAAATGATTCATAGATCTGCCAGAATTTAAAACTTGTTCCTCTGAGAGAAGCCCCTAAAGGCAAGTGGCATTTGATCCTCTAGGAGCCATGGGAGGAAACGTCTCCGCTGGTAACAGCTCCTGTCTGCAGTAGAGAGGAGTGTAATTTCACACTTTTCACCTTGTGCTCATGGAAGTTGGTCAAGTTCAGAATTCATAAATAAATGAATTCATTCAGATTTATTACGTGCTTCCTAAAAGATGGAAGGAGAGCAAGGCTTGTCAGTCACGGATTAATGTAAATATAAGACTGGTGTTGGGGAAAAGGTTGACTGGCAACACGAACAAATCCAGAGACAAGCAATAGCAGTGTGTGCATATCTGTCTCAGTCGCCACACCCCGAGTTCAAAATAGCTGCTGAAATTAGGAAGGGAGGGTGCAGAAAAAAGAAACCCATCTTGTTTGCTCAGGAGAAGGGAGCTATACTTAGCAGAAATTATTTTGAGCCAACAAGACCCAAACACAAATCAATGGAAATAAGTTTAGGACAGACTGTAAACTGTTAGAGATTGTGATTTTTGTCTTGCTGCTGCAACATATGGCAAACCAGTGCAGAAATAGCATCTAACAGCATTCATGGGTAGGTGAGAGGAATTTCCATGACAAGAGGAAACTCACCGCAAAGGGAAACACAAGTTAGCCTACCCAAGAACATTTATAACAGCACAGCCATGCTGTTTAGATATATCGCTTTGTTTTGCAAAGGCAGAGTTTACCTGTTTGGTGGTTTTTTGATGGGCACCCAGAAGTGCTTTTCCGATGCATCCAGAGAGTAGTGCTGTTTGCTTGTTGGGATCTTCGTTAAGGCGCGAGGCCTGCCACACGTGGCTGACTGCAGGGCACCTTCAGCCAAGCAGCTGGCATTTTTAGGACAGGACAGCTAGAAAGAACCCTGTTTGTATACAGAGCGGGTTATATATACCCTAGAACTCCAGTGTAGGTTTAAAGGAAGCATCTATCATTCTTGTACATATTTAGATATTTACATAAAATTATGTATCCATTTAAGCTGGTATAAAGCTGCCATGTACTGATACCATGCACTTTGTTTACTGAAAAAAAAAAGCTACCGTATTTATATGTTTATATTATACAATTATATCAGTGTAAGTACCCCTATACTGGCAGAGCTGCATCAAAGTCCTGGGGCAAGAGGAAGTGTGTCTGTATAATTTAAACTGCAAAACTCCCTCGTATAAAGAAGGCCAAACTATAGCTAACCACCAAGAGAGCAGCATCAGACTTCTAGAGATGAAATGTTGATGTGAAGCACTGAAGGGAACTACTTCAGACCTCTATTTTCGCTGCCTCGATTAACATTTGGTCTGTTTTCATCCAATTTATGCTGTTTTAATGCAGGGTTCTATTCCCCACCCATCTGATCTGGTTTCATCAGAAGCACTTTTGACATTAAACTGTCTCAGAAGGCGTTTCTGAATTCCCTCTGACCACAGAGAAATCTAACTTCTTGCTCCCAAGATGAAGTTACTGGAAGAGAGATCAAAAAATCTATTGGAAAACAAATCTTTCCTAGAAAATGTTCTTATTCCCTGTACAGTAGCTGGCATAAAACTTGTAAAACAGAGCTAAAAGTGGAATTGCTTGCAGTGCTAAAAACTTGATTCATTACAGAAATTCCAAATCTTCACTGAGAAGTTTCACCGATGCAAAAGGATTTTACTCCAGGAATAACACGGTGGACAGGCCCCTGCCTATTGTTTCCCAGGTCTGAGCAAGCCCATGTATGGTATGCTGGTAGCCACAGAATTCCATGATCCCTGATACCGAGAGAGCAGAGCATGAGGAAATGGCCGAGAGTGAACAGCATTTTTGGGTGAGCCTGATTCTCCGCCTGTGTTGTCATGAAGACCTCTCTCTACAAAGAGCTCAAAAGATCTAGAGTGGTGTTACGAGCTAACTGCCAAGTTTGCAAGCACAGTGCCCAATGCAACCTACTTCTGTGACGTCACCAAATCTCATTTGGGAGGCCTTTGGAAATAGCTCCGGCATGCGAAGAGAAAGAGGGAACTAGACCCCCACGCCCGTGTAAACCCTCACGTAAAGAGGGTGAGAAGGGGAAGGCACTCGTGGATGACTTCACCAGCGCCACATCAAGAATACTGGCAGTTTTGTTGCTCATGGGTTGCTGTTGCCCCACCTTGTTCAAATTCCACTCTCTGTGCACTGAGAAAAAGGAAGGAACCAGGAAAGACTCCCAAATCTGTGACACATTACATCACTTACCCAGTGAATACAATTATTATTCATGATTTCTGTGTTGAGTAGGTTTAGGTTCCCCTTGTATTAGTCCCCTTGCAGCTCCTTTGTGAGCTGGTTCAGTCTCACTGATTTCCATTACAGCTATTGTCAGAAATCTATATTGCATCTTCATGTCTATTAAAATATTGCTTCCTGTCTTTTTTAGATAATAATATCAGATGCATATATCAATTTTCTGCAGGAAGACATTGCAGGCAGTATTTCTAATGGCAGCTGAAGATGCAGACCCAATTCTGATCCCACTGACATTGTTGTGCAGCAAGGCTAATCTTTTAGAAGCCAATAGAATTACACCAAATGTCTGAGCAATGTGCTTCAGTGCTTTTATGGCAATAATTTGCCTTCAGTGCAAGTTAAATTGTCTGAAAGGAAGCTGTATGTTTCAATAACCTTGTGCTTGTCTAAGCATGACCATGTAACTAGCAGTTTGCTTAAAGGTCTCTTTTAGTAACGATTTGTTACTGGAAGGTGCGTTTCATTCACTGTATATTTTTGTCACTTATTTCAAGTGGGTTCTTTTATTTAATTGACAAGATAATTCTAGGCAATATTGTACTTAAGGCTTTTTAAAGTATTTTTTTAGAAAGGTAGTTGTGCATAATTTCAGAAGGCATTTTGAAAATCATAGGGATTCTGCATAAATGGAATTTAAATGAGTCATTAAAAGTTAAACCAAGGAAAAAAGAGCAGTCACCTTTCTGACTGTAGAACCAGGCAGCTGTTGAGTAAAATTATTTGCTAGGAGGCATTCAGTTACGAGGACTCAGAATGGATATTTTAAATTTATTTTCAGAATTTACATGATGCAAATCCATTTTGTGTAACATGGATTTAACACTAAGAAGCTGAAAGACCCTTTGCACAAAGCATCCATGAAACAGCAGGAAGATAATTCCATCTTGATTTCTGTTTTTTCAGTCATGCAATGCAAGTATCATGAGAGAAAATAGGTAAAATAGCAAAGTAAAGATGTTCTGTCCCGCAGAGCTCACATATGGCTATTGGGAGAGGATGTGATGGATCACACATTGCAACTTACACTTCATGGGGTCTGAGCAGAAACCCTGCCTCAGTATCAGTCAGTGACCAATTTCTGGCCACCGGTTAGATATCCCCCCTCATTTCCCATCGTGCCATTCTCTGCTGTGTTACCAAAGACATTCTCGATTCTTTACACACTCACTTTTCAGATTATCCAGTCTGAGTTCTTGAATGCAACAGGCCATTACATTTCAGTAAGCCCACATTCCAATGACCCAGGCTTAATTTGAAAGCCTCAAGAGATGAAAAATCCCTTAATTATCTAATGTGCTGTGAACAAAATCCATCTCATTGGCCTTTCCCAGGGTTTCTTAAGTTTACCTTCTTGTATATCTTTTCTTAAAATAGAGTTCTTTGGGGCAATGTCTTTTATACTCTGCATAGTGATAATCATTGACTGTAAATAAGAAATAATGTCAGCCTGTTTATTCTTCCCTTTATCAAACTATAAAAACACGGACTGTCACAAATTATCACAGATGGAAGGTTTTTTTCAACTGTAAGTGTAAAAAAATTCACCCTTCAAGTCTAGTGCATTGGTTATTCTTACTCAAGTAACTACCAGTTGGAGTTCTGGAAGTCTGGCAGAGTCTGCCAATCTCATTCTATTCCCTGTGCCAGAAGTGGAATATTCCATTTTTTTCCTTTCTTTCCAAACAGTAACTACCTTTAGTCGTTTCATGTCCATTGGTGCATAATCTCCTTCTCATATTTCCCAATAATAATTTATACTTTGTTTCACAAGATTAATTGCTCCGTGCGAGCGTGAACAGAGATGTACAAATTTCCATGCACAGTACCACAGATGTTTTCCAAGTAACAGCTGCAGAAACATTTCCAGCATAGTTCTATCTTAAGCTACCATATCCAGGCACATTTCACTAACATACTCTTGATACTTGCCAGAAGAAATAATTCAGATGTACTTTCTCAGATGTACAGTCGGTAGGTAGCTCTGCCTGCCTGGAAATATCTGGGTCTAACTCAAGAGTTCAAGCTGCCTAACCTTGTATTAGGATCACATATCACACAGTTCCCTAAATACTTATAGAGCATGCAGAAAATCCTCCAACACCTTACCTAATCTGTGTCTGCTCTCCTCCTGCTGTCACTGCAGCCTGTGGCAAAGCTCCTATCTCCTTCAATGGAAGAAAAGCCAGGCCTTAGCAGCAAGGATTCCGGAGCGAGGACAGGAAATGAAGACTGCTGTATCCAGTTTTGCTGCAACCCTTCTTCGATCCAAAAAAGCATCAGGGAACATGATCCTGACTCACACAGAAACATACAAGTCACTGTGTTACTGGGCAGCAAATTATCCATTTAAAAAGGCACATATACAAGTGTCACAGAAATACTAAACATTTTGCAAAGCTATAAACTCCTATAGTGCTGATATGAACTCTCTAGGACATAAAATATCCAATTATAGAAGATGATGTCTACAGTGAAGCATAACCACAGTCAGGTAATTAACGTGAACTGCCTTTAAGTAGTCACATGGAGAAAAGAAAGAATTTTTATGTTCTGGAAGGGAAAAATGTAAGAAAACCTGTATTAAATGAGCCAGAGAGAATGAATTTCTAAGGTATTGTTACTCACATTTTCTCCCTTCCTGAAGACCATGATAAAGTTGCTATAGCTGAAGGCTTGTTTGGAGAAGGTATGCTCAGGAGTACACAGCTGTCGTTATCTTGATTTACCTTGATGTCGGTTCCCATGCACTTACCTATTGCCTTTGTTACACGCAATGTGGAAAACTATTCAACCTCATTTAACTTTGAAATTAGCCCTGCTCTGAGCAGAAGCTTGGCCTAGAAAACCTCCAGAGGTCCCTTCCAACCACAGTTATTCTTCAATTTTATGACTATTTATTGCAGTTAACACCTCTGCGTTTCTAATGCCCATAATGCCCATTTACTTATTGATCTTGGATTGTGAAAGTAGGTCATTTTCTGCGGCTCCTGTACTGCTGTAGTGCCACTGTCTTTTGCTTCTAGCACTATTAAGTAAAGCCATAAGAAATGATATTGTAGTTTAGAAAGCGATTCAAGAAAACACATCTCTTGAATCAAATTACACAAGAATTAAACTTAATGGCAGATGATGACTATTTGAAAAAAGTTTTTCAAAAATTGGGCACCATTTTATCCTTTAGAAGGGCAGGTCAAAAAAGTTTGGATACAGACAGTTAAACTAAGAAGGATTTTTTTCCCTATAGTAATTTGGATTCGGGCACGCAGATCACTGATATGAAACAAAATTAAGGAGAAATGTGCATGAAAAGTTACTATCAGCTAGCTGTTCCACTGTATCATTCTCACTGCCAATACTGAAAGGGTGAAATTGGAAATGCTGTAGAAAAGGAGATAAATTTCTACCTGCTGTTGGTGTTCTCGCACGTTGCAACATGCATTTCTGACAAGCCATCTATTTTTTTTTAGGAAGAACGATTGATTTGCAGGTGCGATCCCTACGGTGAGGGACACAGTCTGAAGGCTTTGCTATTACCAAGTTGTATGGAATAGATTAGAACATTTTCCAAATAGTAAAGCAAAGTGCAGAAAATATCTGTTCTGGTTGAGAAAATTATATTACAGGGCCATTTGTTTGGTAAAAATAAATCAGGTTAAAAGGTTAATTTAGTGCCTGCAGTTCTCTCTGAATTAATCACTGAACCTGAAAGAGGCTTTTCATTTGTTAAATGTAAGCATGTATTTCACCGTTCTGGATGAAAGCAGAGGTTTGTCTCAGTGTTTCAAGCAGCTCTGTGGTGGGAACAGATAGCAAGGGAATCTTCTTCAGCTCAAATAGCAGGGTTTGTTTCCCTAGTAAATAATTTATGTTCCTGCTGTTAGGAAGAAGTTGCGAGAGACTGTCAGAAAGCAGCGCAGTAACAGCTATGAAGTCCTAAGAGGCTGTGGAGATGGTACACTTGATCTGGCTCTCCTGTGATTCAGCTTAAGATGATTTCTGATGTCAACAGACTTCTTATATCATGCGATTCTGTGGACTTACAGTAAAAACCAAGTGGCTGCATACCTGAGAGGCTGCCTCTCCCTGCATGACAGGTGATAGTTTCTGATAAGGGGGAGCACTAGAACTGACAATTGATTTAAAATAGATGGAATAGATCGTACAATTGCACAATTTGTTGCCTGTGCGTGCTACATGCAGCCATGACTGCTCTTTCTGTAATGTTTATTAAAAAATGGTATCCAAGACATGTAGTGCAAGCTATTTTATTTTATTGTTAAACATGTTTTTTTTTTCTAAAGCTGACGAATATTTGGACAGGGAATTTATGTTGCTTTTTTTCTCATCTGTTTTGGAAAAACAAAACCAACGTAGAATACTTTGGAAAGGGGGCATGCTTGCTGCTAGTCTCTCTTACTGGCCAGATGCTTCTTCCTGTTCCATGCCAGGACAACAATTTAGCTTCAGTTTCATGCATGGAACAGCTGAATTCTGCTTGTGAAACTGAACCCAGGGTTTGCCTGTCCAGCTGCAGTGGGAATCTACATTTTAAGCTGAAAGAAATGAAGGAGCCTGCATCTAGTTCCTTTTTTCCTTTGCCACATACTTCAGGAATACTATTTTTTTTCAAAGGGCAATTCATTATTGCCTGTAACAACAAACATAGCTAATATACTTATAAGGTAGAACATTCTTATAATTTGTATCTGCTGACTTCCAGACTACTTACTTGGAAAGTTAACATTCCATTGATTGATTCATTGCACAGAAAGGATAAGATTTGCAAAAATAACTAGTGATTTTGGATAGTTCGGTTTTCACAGAGGTCAAAGACAGTTCAGTGCTCAAACCCATTTCATCCCTCTTTAAGAGTTCCTATGTGCTGATGATTTTTATTTGATGAGCACTTACTCCCAGGAAGCTGGGCAAAGTCTTGTCAGGTAATTTCACCATGAGCTATTTTTTAGGATTCTTCTCATTGCCTTCTGTTGCTTTTCCCAATGTTCCACAATACTGTTCTGCAAACTATGCCTCTAGACAAAGAAAACAGTGTAACTTTCTTTGCAGCTTTTGAAAAGTGGCTTCTTGAGAGTCTGTTTCATTCCAGGCTTTGAAAAAAGGAGTTCACTCCAAGAAAAGAAGTCTTTCTGAGCCCTGAGTAAGCCTCAGTATGATATCTCTCCCGATTGCTTCGATGAGCACTCAGATGTCTCTGTGAGGATTTCCTCTACCAACGGCCCAAGCTCAGCCTGCCTCTGGGCAGGCAGTGGAGATGCTCCAGGCCCTTCCTCTTTTGTGATGAATATGACTTCAGACAAGAGGTCTGCTGCTCACCAAATTTTATGTCTGAGATCAGCTTGGAAAAGAATAATAGGACTTTTTTTTTTCTTTTTTTTTTTTAAGGTTTAGTCTGTGTTGCTCTTTAAACCAACATCAATATTGCCTTCTCTGGGCTGATCAAAACTTGCTTGCTATTTTAAAGATCTCATTCTAGCAATAAATATAGGTAAGTTACATAATGGTTGGAGTCAAAGCACAAACACAGGAATAACTAGACTTACTCTGCCACAGTAGACTGAATTCTGACCAGCTAAATCCAAGCAGCAATTATTATTAAAAGTTTGCACGTCTCTAGCCCCTCGGGATATTCAAATGCTTTACAAAATATTTTAATTGAGCCTCACAACCAACCTGACGTGAGGGTAAATTTATCCTTGTTCTGAAGCTGCTGTCTGCATACATATTTGAACTCATCAAGCTTGCTTGCCCATGCTGCACTTTGTGTGCACAGAAGTTGGGTGGATATGAAAATTAGTATTAACCTTTGCATCTGTGGGTTTAACTGACTGGTCAAAAGTCATGCAGTGAGTAGCGCTCGGGTCTCCAAAGCAGAACACAAAGCCAAACCACAAGACCATCTGTTTTTTCCCTCTGAAGGGTGTTTAAACAGTGCAGATAGAATTGTCTGCTACAAAGATACACATCCTTCTTCCCTTTTTCACATACTGGGGTTTGGCTGTGAGTCCTGTAGCACCTCTTCTTTCCCTCCACTCAGTGGAAAAAAAATCAGGCACTGTGTAAGGTGAAAGGCAGGTACTACAAATTCCTTATATGTGGGATTTTCTTGTTTCTTTTCTCTGAGCCCCCTGCACGACTCCACTGCACCTGCTGCCTCTGCCTATGCAGTTGTCCTGTCCAATTTCTTTAAAATAGACAGGCTTCACTTCCCCCCACAGGGATGAATAGGCCTTCTTGCTGCTGTGGCGTATTTCTTCCTTGGCTGACATGGCACTTGGGGTCTCCATAATGTTCCAAGGTGTCAGATTTTTGTACAGCGCATCAAGTCCCTGCATGCAGAACACCTGCTTGTAATGGTGCAATGGCCATTCTCCAGGTGCACTTCATTACATTCATCAGGTAATTTTTTTTCCCTAGGTTTAGGGCCTCTTTCACTTTTTCTCTGGGCCACATAGAGTTCTTGCTGGTTGCCTCCATCTCTTTCTCAGCAGTCTCTCTAAATCCCTTGGCCTTGGCAGCCACTTACTTATGGCAGCCTGCCCGCCGTAACCCTCAGCTGCTCTGGGCACATGCTGTGTCTTTCTTCTCACAGCGTGCTGCTGTTTTGACCCCTGGGTGGTTGTGCCCAGACCAAGGCCACCTCCTACAGAGGCTGGTAGTAGTCCTGGGAGACTTGGCCTTCAACTGACCACCCTACTAGGAGAACTTGCTCTGAGGTCCCTCCTGCGCCAGATGACTTACTCCTCGGTCTCCAGGATTTCCTTTGGAAGGAGTATCGATCCTGTAGCTGACTGGTTTATTGCTACTTTCAACTCAGTTGGGTGCTGCCTCAACTGACCCTTCCTACTGTTCCTGAGGATAAAGGGCTGTAATTAGACATATCCAGCTGAGGGCATATTCAGCCCAAGATTAATAGAAGCTACTCTGTTGCGTGTTAGTGCTACAGGTTCCTGCCAAACCATCAGTTCTACAGTCTACCAGTCTGAGGATGTGCTGCACCACCTCAGGCTCCCAGCACTGATATGCGGAATGTTCTGGGAAGGGCCCTGATGGAAATCCTTTGAGCAGATAGTCAGAATTTGCAAGAACTGCTGTAACTGCATGAGTGGGACAATCTCAGGACAGTGTCGGTCAGACCTCCAGCAAGAATTTCCCAGCTAGAGCATCAGCTCAATTATCTTCACTTGGTCACTGCCAAAACCCACCAGTGGGCCAACCCATTTTGGAAAACAGTAACAGCTGTAAACAGACTTCTTAAACACTGATCCTTAAGCAATGAGACCCAGAAGAATTAGAATGAAATTGGGGAAGCTAGATGAAATTCCAGGGGGGCTTACCCTTCTCTGCACCTTCTCAGTTCCAAAAGGCATATTGTATTTCAAGATGAAAAGGAAGAAAAAATGGCAGGGAGGAGTGCACAGAAGCTGGGATTTGAAGAGCAGTTCACTCTATGCACAGAGGAGTTTGGTTGCTGCAGCAAAAATAGCTTTTCTTTTCAGTCTTGCAAGTGTGGCCCGAGAGTTACTACAGAAAGGGTTAAAAATGCTTATGACGGATGAATTTTTAGCAAACTGATTCGGAGTTAATTTGTCAGGAAATAAATAGAAAGAAAAAAAAGTTCTTTTCTCTCTCTACGCTTGATATGTCACTGCTTATTATCTCTAGAGGAAATCCTCCTTCGTGTGCTGTCTGAACAGCTAACAACTACAGATACTGGAAGGAGTTTAAAGAAAATGAGTTGCCTTTGCTCTGAACTTCTTGCTTTTATCTGCTAATTTGAACCTCTAGTGGTACAGCAAGGTTTTGCCACTCGTCTTCCCAGGGCCAGGATTTTCATGCAAAGTATTTACTCTGTTCCTGGTCCTTACTGTATTATAATACCCTCCCAGCCTCCTCAGGAAAACAAAAGAAAAAAAAAAAGACAAAAAAGACTTATGTTACAAAAAAATTTGAACACTCACAAATCTAGTTGTCCAGTTCTCTTAAGAGGAGCTGACAAAAGGAATTAAATGGAGCTGCGAGGAAACATCCCGGCTTCCCTTGTCACTCCTGGCATCTCTGTCAGTGGGGCCAGAGGGGACGAAAAGGGACAGCCAGCCCCTCCTGCCAGTCTTCGTACTGGGGAAAGGCCTAAGGAAGCAAATAAACCACGGAAAGGGTAAATTCCTGTTTACATCTTGCAGTAAATAAGGCAACTCTGGCGACAGGGCGCTCCGCCCCAGCAAACACAGACATGGTACGGACATAAAAGCGGGGAGAGCTCGGCGCTTTTGCCCAGTGTCCGCACAAGAAGGTGTTTGTAAATAAACGCCTTTCCTCATTGTTTGGCGAGGGCTTTAAATGAGACGGAGGCAGGGAGCGTCCGAGCGATCCCCCTCAGCGCCAGCCACCGTCCCCACCGCCGCGCAGGCGCCGCGGAGACACGGCAGCGAAGCGGCTGCTAAGTGCGCTACTTCCGCGCGATCCTTCCGCCGGGCGGCCCGAGGAAAAAGAGTCCGCCCCCCCCCTCCGCCCCAATCCTTCCCTCCCAGCCTCCTGCCGGCGGGCCCCGCGCACCGAGCGGCCACGGCGACCGGCGAAGCGCGGCGGCGGCCGGGGGGGCAGGCGGCGCGGCTGGA